CGATCTCGGCTCACCGCAACCTCCACCTCCTGGGTTCAGGCAATTCTTCTGCCTCAGCCTCCTGAGTAGCTGGGATTACAGGCACGCGCCACCATGCCCAGCTAACGTTTTGTATTTTTAGTAGAGATGGGGTTTCACCATGTTGACCAGGATGGTCTTGATCTCTTGACCTTGTGATCCACCTGCCTCGGCCTCCCAAAGTGCTGGGATTACAGGCTTGAGCCACCGCGCCCGGCCTTTTTTTTTTCTTTTTTTTTTGAGTCAGGTTCTCTCTCTGTCACCCAGGCTGGAGTGCAGTGACACGATCATGGCTCATTACAGCCTGTCCTTCAGGGCTCAAGTGATCCTCCTGCTTCAGCCTCCCAAAGATTATAGGCATAAACTACCATACCCAGCTTTTTTATAAGTATATTTCAAGCCGGGTGTGGTGGTTCCTGCTTGTAATCCCAGCTACTCCAGGGGCTGAGGCATGCGGCAGGAGGATTGCTTAGAGCCCAGGAGATCAAGACCACCCTGCGCAACATAGTGAGACCCCTATCTCTAAATGCAAAATAATAATAGTAATAAATTAAGTATATTTCTGATAGAAAATATACCATGTTTTATGTTTTGCATGTAACTTTTTTTTTTTTTTTTTTTTTTTGAGACAGTCTTGCTCTGTCGCCAGGCTGGAGTGCAGTGGCTTGCTCACTGCAACCTCCCCCTCCCTGGTTCAAGCAGTTCTCCTGCCTGAGCCTCCCAAATAGCTGTGACTACAGGCATGCACCACCAAGCCCAGCTAATTTTTGTATTTTTAGTAGAGACAGGGTTTCACCATGTTGACAGGATGGTCTCTATCTCTTGACCTCATGATCCACACGCCTCAGCCTCCCAAAGTGCTGGGATTACAGGCGTGACCCAGCACGCCTGGCCCTTTTTTTTTTGAGATGGAGTCTTGCTCTGTTGCCCAGGCTAGAGTATGGTGGCGTGATCTCAGCTCACTGCAACCTCTACCTTCCAGGTTCAAGCTATTCTCCTGCCTCAGCCTCCTGAGTAGCTGGGACCACAGGTGCATGCCACCACGCCTGGCTAATTTTTGTATTAGAGACGGGTTTTCACCATATTGCCCAGGCTCGTCTTAAACTCCTGAACTCATGATCCGCCTGCCTCAGCCTCCCAGAGTGCTGGGATTACAGGCGTGAGTCACCGTGACTGGACTTTGCCTTTTTTTTTTCTTTTTTTAAAGAGACAGGGTCACCCAGGCTAGCGTGCAGGGGTGGTGCTTTTCACCCCTCAGTCTTTTAAGTAGCTGAGACCACGGGCATGCGCCACCACACCTGCCTATTTAAAAAAATTTGTTTAGAGACAGGGTCTTGCAGCATTGCCGAGGCTGGTCTCAAACTTACGGGCTCAAGCAATCCTCCTGCCTTGGCCACCCCAGGTGTAACTTCTACATGAGTGTCTGTGTATGCATAAACAACATATCCTTCCAGATCTTCATTTAGTTATGTAATTGCTTCCAGTGACAGGAACCAGTAAACCTTGATAAACAAAGATTAAAGAGCCATCAGCCAGTTATTGCAGTATCTGATTTATTCAACTGTTTTGGTTAGTTTTTGCCTTCTTGTGTTTCTAGGCTATTCAGGCAGCTATCAGCCAGGCCTTTAAAACCCCAGAGGTCATCAGATTGTTTGCAAAGAAACAACCAGGTCAGCTTCGGACAAGGTTAGCAGAGGTAAAATTTATTTAAATTGATTCAGTTGCTTTGTGATTTCATTTCCTAGGCCAATTCATTATGATATCCTATGGCTTAAAAATTGGCCAGTTGATTTTAGAGCCACAACTGACAATTTTCTGACAAAATTAGTACTTAGAGCAGTTATGGTTGATGAGAAATGTAGGGTTTTAAACAACATATGGCAGTTTAAATTGCCACTGACCACTTCTACCTGGACTCCACCTTTAATGTTTTACCATTTATTTCTGGAGCTCTAACTTGAAATCACATTGAGAATTCATTAACAACATTGCTTGTATGCACGTGTGGCCTATCTCATCTAAGAATTTCAAGTATCTTTATGAACCTGTTACTTCCAGAAGTCTGCTTATAGGCTTTTTTGTTTCTTTGTTTTTTTTTGAGATGGGGTCTTGTTCTCTTGCCCAGGCTGGAGTGCAGTGGCACAATCTTGGCTCACTGCAACCTCCGCCTCCCGGGTTCAAGCGATCCTCCTACCTCAGGCGCACACCACCATCCCTGGCCAATTTTTGTATTTTTAGTAGAAACGGGGTTTTAACATGTTGTCCAGGCTGGTCTTGAGCTCCTGACCTCAAGTGATCCACCTGCCTTGGCCTCCCAAAATGCTGGGATTATAGGTATGAGCCACTGCGCCTAGGCTTTTGTGTTTTTTGTTTTGTTTTGTTTTTGGTTTTGAGATAGGGTCTTGGTCTGTTACCCAGGCTGGAGTGCAGTGGCGCAATCTTGGCTCACTACAACCTCTGCCTCCTGGGTTCAAGCCATTCTCCTGCCTCTGCCTCCCAAGTAACTGGGCCCACAGGTGCACACCACCATACCTGGCTAATTTTTGTTTTTCATAGAGACTGGATTTCACCGTGTTGGCCAGGCTGGTCTCAAACACCTAAGCTCAGGCAATCCACCCACCTCAGCCTTCCAAATTGCTGAGATTACAGGTGTGAGCCATTGCACCAGGCCTGGACAAGTTATTTTATTCATCCCCTTTGTGCCTAGGTTTCTCTGTCTGTAAAAAGGTGACAATGATAGTCCCTACCTCTTATGGTTGTTATGAGGATTAAGTGAAGTAACAGGCATAAAAGTGCTTTGAATAGTCCCAATGTATAGTACATGCTATTGTTTCAGGTGGAAGGGGTGATATTTTACTAGATAATTTATTAGAACTGCATTTAACATTTATTTATTTATTTACTGCTTTTCCATAAGGATATTCACACTAAATAAGCATTTAACATTTCTATCATATTTGCCTTGGATTATTTCTGTAGTTCTTTACAATATTAATCAGAGGATTTTTTTCAAATAGTAGGTCTGAAAAGCTGTATTTTGTATATAGAATGTTTTTCACTTAAGTGACATATGCCTTGCATTCATACATTTTAGATGGATAGAGATCTGATGGTAGGAAAGCTGGAGAGAGACCTGTACACACAACAGAAAGTGGAGATACTAACAGCTCTCAGGAAACTTGGAGAAAAGGTACCAGTATTTAATATATTAGGTACAAAGAAAAAATACAAATTTTTCTTTTTTTTTTGGGACGGAGTTTTGCTCTTGTTACCCAGGCTGGAGTGCAATGGCGCGATCTTGGCTCACTGCAACCTCCGCCTCCTGGGTTCAGGCAATTCTCCTGCCTCAGCCTCCTGAGTAGCTGGGATTACAGGCACGTGTCACCATGCCCAGCTAATTTTTTGTATTTTTTTTTTTTTTTAGTAGAG